GCCGGCGGCGGGGTGCTGCGGCTCCTTTAAGAGCCGGGCGCCATTTTGTCCGGTTCTCTGGCAGCGGCGGGGGGCGGGGCGGGCCCTGGGAGCCACGCCCCCCTGCGCGCGCCGCTCCCGCCGCTGAGGGCGCCTCTTCCCGCCCCTTCGCGCGCTCCCGCGTCCCCTCAGCGGCCTCGGCTGGGAACGGGCACAGTCTGAGGGGTTAAAGTTACCGTGCGGATAACAAACTGCTCTGATTGTTGGGTTTTTTGGTTGTTTTGGGTTTTTTTTGTGTGTGTTTGTGCTTTATCCATCTGTACGTACGTGTGACGTATTAAAATATCGGTGGAAAACGAGGCGTTCACCGGTTTTATTCTGTCAGGTTGTAGCTGCCGTTGGAAATGCTCCGTTTGAGGTCGGTGAGGTCCGTGTGGCAGCACGGAATTGGCACCGGGTTTTGTACAGAGGTGTTTAAATGAGTCCTGTAAAGGTTTTGGGCTGTGTCTGGTGGCACCTGCACAACCAGGTGTGAAATGCAGGGCTGAAAAATCTGTGGGACACACCTGGAAAAAGAGTGTGTGAAAGGGACATCATTAGGTTTAAAAAAAAACCCCAAACATTCTCAGAATCTTGTTAGACTTTCAGTGTTCACTCTTTGATCCTTACTGTGCTTGCCACCCATGTAAACCCTCTGTAGGAATTCTCATTGTCTGCTATTTATTAACAGGTGTTTTAGCGTTTTTTAATGAAACCAAGCACCACACATTTTGTAAGATCTTATTCCATATATTGTTGCTTCCCTAGTTTATTTCATCTGTTAAGAAGCCCAAGTTGGCCTTCTTGTAAGTTTCATTTTCTGTTGATCAGAAGTAGTTCTGTAAATGTCTTTCCCAAAAAGGTTGGCTACAGTGTTTGTTTAAACTCGACAAGTCTTGCACAACTTCAGTTTAACTTTTCATAAACTTGTTTGTTGAGGTCTTATGTTTAGATACCAGGCATGCAAAGGTTTTGTCACCAATGGTTGGGATTTTTTTTTTTTGCAAATGTTGTTTAAAATAATACATTTTTGTAGGTGTGTTGTGCCCTAATATTTTAATTGTGCAGATTCTATTTGTAACGGAAGAACTTGGAAAATTGGCATAACCAGGAGTACAAATGACTAAAAGAAATTTGCAAGTGAGTAGTGATTTCAAAACAAACAAAAAAAAAAAAGGAAAATTCTGGTCTAAACACACCAGCCCATTGTTTGATACAATTCAAAATTATTTTTTCTTTAGATACGTTCCAAATCACTTTGTTATAAAGAAAAATATTTTCTGAAGGACAAACTAATTTTTTGTTTGTTGGGAGGTTTTTTTGCAACCTCTAAGAACGATTTTTTTTTTTAATGTTGCTATTAAACAGAAAGTTAGAACTGATGCAGGATTGCTCTGGACATGCTAAAAGCTGAAATTCTAAATTAAAAAAAAAAATCCAAAGTTTAGCTCTTCTGACTGTCTTGGGAAGGTGCAATAACACTTTGGTGAAACATGATCCGCAGTTAATGATTAACGACGAGTGAAATCTTTGCTGGTAAATCTGTTCATCTACAGCAGAAGCCAAACAGTTTAATTCAGAATTATTAGCACCTACAGTCTGCTGTTTGTTACCACAGACACTATGACTGTTTTAATATGGTTTTTTGTTTTGCTATTTTCTGGAACAGCTTTCAGCCAAGAAAAAATGTAAGTAAAACAGAGAATTTGGTGGAAATGTTACTTGATTGTTCTCTGCTACTTTAGGTGAATGTCTACAGAGTTTAGCTAGAGCCAGTACACAAGATACTCTCCTAATTGATGTGTTTTCACAATTAATATTCTCTGTAGTGTACCTGGGAGTAATGCTTATAGAAGGAGTAATGGTTCTGGGATTACTGTGTTTGCTGCAGAAGTAGGGTCATTTTACATGCCACAAGATAATCATGCAAAAAAGTAAAGAAATAAAGCTGGTGCTTACTAGCTCTTCTGTAGTGCTTGAAGACAAGTACTTTGCTATGGGTTTAATGAAAGTTCTCACTTAAACATGTATTTCAGAGCTATACTTAGCAGTGCTTTTTTGATTCTTATGTCTGTTAATGATGGTGTGTAGAAAGCCCCCAACCTCAGTACTGTTAGCATTTTAGAAAAAGATGATGTACACCTACCAAATGGTTTGTTCAGTGGTACTTCTTATGTATTTTAAATACAGTATGGGGTCAGGTACTAAGGCCTGGCTTGTGCTTTTGTGGAATGATGCCTACTTTGGTTTATAAAGCACTGAAGAAATCATGCAAAATGTATTCATATTGGTCTTCAGTGTAAGTTGCCCCATTTATTTCAGTAAGAATGGTTGGAAAACTACCCAAAGTGTACTCTGTAAGATTAGGGTATCAGGGTTTAGTTTGGCAAAAGGTATCTTTATTTCTCTGTAAATAGTCTGTTTCAGTAGACACGTTTTTGTCTATCTGCAAACTCAAACCCATAAACATTACCCAAGCTGTTATTTTGTAATGTCACATTACAGATTTCATAAAAATTACTCTGACTGGGTCGCTGTTTTTAACTAGTGTCTCAGAGTAACTTGGCCTGATGGTCTTGTTTGCTTTAATGGTGTGTACATGGGTGAATTACAATATAGTTCCATTACCCTTTTGTTGTTTTGTACTCCACATACAGATATGTCCTTACAGCATCAAAGATCTTCCGAGTTGGGGCATCTGAAAAAGTAGTAGTTCAAGCTTTTGGTTTCGAGACGGAATTTCCAGTCAATGTTGCCATTAAAAGCTTTCCAGATAAGCTTGCTGTTTATTCTTCTGGCCACATTTCTTTGACGCCAGCCAACAAATTCCAAGATGCTGTAACTTTAAGAGTAAGGAATTAGAACTTTTCTTGCAGTGTTTTTATTGTCATCTGTAGTTATAAGTCTTTAAAATATTATGGTAAGTTCTGAGGTGGTTAAACTGGGAAGGGAAGCTTTACACCCTGATTTCTCAGTTTGCCACATGTAGCTTATTGCATTTTAGTTTGTCTGAAATGGAAATTACATTGGATAAAATTAGTGTAAAGGAGTGACACCCAAGTTAAACAGACAGTCAAGCTGTTTTAGAAGCATTATTGTAGTCACATAACTTTAAAAAATAATCAGGGAGAGAACAGAGAAGTGTTGAGTGTGGACAAGATATGTCAACAGTGTTCAGATTTTACCATAAAGCTTTATTTAACTGATTTGCTTGAATCCAAGAGTGCAGGAAGCTGAAGAAATTTTTAGTGAAAGCTGTTGCCCAAGAAGTTTCTGCTTGGGTTGATGCCTCCCACAAGGTGCTTCTTGCCCAGTTTTCCTTTTAGCAAAACCAGCTATTTCACCACTGTCAACCACAACATCAACTTTGGTGTGGCCAAGATTTGTTGTGTATTTAAATGGAAGTCTGATAATTTGTATTCCTGTAACCTCATAACTGGCCTTTGCACTTTGCTGGCTTAGTTCTGGACATCAGCAAAATTCAAAATTTCAAAATACCTGTATCTTAATATTCCAGGCTAACATCTGAGATGTAAGCAAAAATAGACCCGTGTGAGTGTTGATGTTTTCATTTAATAATAATTCACAACAGGCTAGTAATTGCTATTCAGATACTGGTCTCATTGAAAAACACTAGGGAAAAATACTTGAAAAATATTTTTGTGTTCTTTTAAAATCTTTGTTTCATCTTTCCCAGATTGAACCAACAGATTTACCAGAAGTGGAGAACTCAGTCAATTATGTGTATTTGGAAGCTGTTTCTCCACATTTTACAAGATTAAAAAAAATTCCTGTTTCCTATGAGAATGGGTTTCTTTTTATTCATACAGACAAACCAGTTTATACTCCTGATCAGTCAGGTAAATAATGCTTATTTGTCTTGGCTGTTATTTAATTTTTAAAGTCTGTTGATTTTGTCAAGAGATTAGGATTGAAATTTAATTTAAGCTCTTGATTATGTTGTATTGATGTTGGCTGCTGTTTATTTTTTTTGATCAGAATAATATTTTTAACTATTTGACCATACCTTCAAAATTAATCACTTCTCCTGATATGGTCTCAGTCCCTGCACTCCACATCCTACATCACTGATCTGTGGCAGAAAAATGAGAGATTTACTGGGAATATATTAAAAATCTTCATGAAGAAATGATGACTGAATCATTGTTTTTATATGGATTAAGCTCTTTTCCTACAAAAGCGATATGCTGGGATTGTGATGGCGAAAAATGATGTTGCACCTTGATGACTGACTGTGAAAGAATGGTGGTGCAGGGTCTGGTGTTGCTAGCTTGAATAAATACTGTTTGCACACCATCCTGACAAGGTCAGCAGCATTCTAGAAATAGTAAAACTATTAGTTTTATTATTATTATTAGTTTATTTAAAAATTAGTAGGGATAAAAGATTGGGGTTTTGTGTTCTGGGGGGTTTTATTGTTTGCTTTTTGTTTTGTTGGTTTTCTTTTTTTTTTAAACAAATCTCTATAATGGCATGACTTTGAAATTTATTGTATTGATTCTTTCAGTGAAAGTCAGGGTTTATTCTCTGAATGAAGACCTGCAGCCAGCTCGGCGAGAAACTGTCCTAACTTTTGTGGTAAGTTGTCACTGAATTTAGTATTCTCTAGATCACCAGAACAGTAAGTGTAGTTAGGTGGTAAATCAGTTTTACAACCAATATTTTAGGTAGTTTTGCAGGAAGCCAGACATTTTAGAAGATCTAAACATGACTGTGCACCGTTGGATAGAGGTTTTCAAGTCCCAGATTTGAAGTAGTTACAGAATGGGAAAAAAAGAAAAAGTCACCATTATTTTCAATAACTGGAAAAAGAATTCCTGAGGAGATTTAATAATACAAGGCTTTCATTCTGTTTATTTAATTTAAGATATGATCAGTGTCTACTATATTTTTTTAGCCTTTTATAATAGACTTGCTATTACCAATTTTAAGCATTGTGTAGTAACAGCTTTTAGTTGTTGGAACAACAGTAAAATGTCTTATCTGAATTTCAGTCTGAGTTGTTTCTAGAAATGTTTTTTCATCCTGTGAAATGTGCAAAACTCTTAGCAGAATATGTTATGGCCTGAGTCCCACTGACATCATTCACTGAATGAAGGTTTTCCTTTGGTAAGAATGATCTGTACCTGCTGATTCTTTCCTGTTATAATTTATAGGATCCTGAAGGAGTAAAAGTGGACATGATTGAAGAAGAAGATTTTACTGGCATAGTTTCTTTTCCTGACTTCAAGATTCCTCCTAATCCTAAGTAGATTTATTTAGTGCTTTTTAAGAATTATGAACATAATTGTGTCTTTAAAGACTGTCAGAATGTCTTTTGCTTGACACACAGAGTGTGCATGACTTGAAACTCAGAGATTTCTAACATTTTACATTGTGTAAACATAGTATAAAGAAATAACTATATAAAATGTTTTAAAATAAGTTTCAAATAATTATTAAAATATTACAACAGAATCTTCTCAAAGTAGGCATTGAACATGTGCAAAAACTTGGTGCAGAATTTTTCTCTCTTAATTATTAACATATTGTTAAGTAGTAATATTAATTTTTATCTTTGGCATGAATTTTAATCCAAAAAAATATTGTTGCCATTCTGTAGGTATGGCATTTGGAAAATTGAAGCCAAGTATAAGAAGAATTTTGGAACCTCAGCTGTTGCCAAATTTGAAGTTAAGGAATATGGTAAGGTGTGCCCACCCTGTGAACTTGCATTTTCATCTGTTTTTTGCAAAGAAAGCTGTAGAGGGCAGTGACACGACACAGAGGAGGAACATGCAGAAATGCATGAGGTTGCATTGGGTGGCTTATGCACAGCAGTGGGCTGCACTGTAATGCCAAGGGGTTCGAGCTAATCAGTCCCATCAGTAGAAGACTGTATTGATACATCATGACTGTAAATAAAATTATTCTTTAGTATGCTTGGGCATCTTAGTTGCAATGATGCAAAATGTGGAACCAGGGCAACTGCAGGTAACTTAGGGTTTTATAATCTGTACTTTGCCTAACAAGGACAAGCTGACAGCTGTGTTTTGGGGCTATCATAACGCAGATCACTTGGTACCAACATGCTGCTTTGATGGCTATACAGAGGTGTCTTTCTGAGTACCTGTGGCTTAATGTATAAAAACACATCTAAGTGGCTGTATTTTCTATTTAATTTTCAGCAATGCCAAGTTTTTCCATTGTCATAGAGCCAGAAAGTAACTTTATTAGCTCTGATAAATTTGACAACTTCAGGATTGTTGTGAAAGCCAGGTAAGGAAATTGGGCTTTGATTTCTAAATATGTGAATATCTCTTCTTCTTTAATCTGAAGAATGATAGTCCTGTGTCCAGAAGTTTCTTCTTTAGCTTCCTCTAGAAATACTATAATCACAATCCTTCTTACAAAGTTACTGTCTTTCAACAGAAGTGTGAAAGCTACAGTTTTTTCTGTCTCTTGCCTAAGAAATTCCTCTTCTTCAAAAATAAACACTATGTTGCAGCCATCAAAGTAATCTTTAAAGCATTTCTTTTGTTGTCTTCCCAGCTATTTTTATAATAAAAGGCTTACAAGTGCTGATGTTTTTCTTCGTTTTGGAATAATTGAAGAAAATGAAAAAAGAATGATGCCTCGTGCGATGCATGTGACAAGGGTAAGAAGCAGCAAGCCTGGCTTGTGGATTTCATGTGCTTAGATCAGGACTGATGCAATTCCACTGAAGTTTTCCCATTGAATTTGTTCAGAATGGCTTCCAGCTCCTAGTTTGCATCAGCAGCTATTCAGTGTCAGCTTTTCCTATGTAATCCTGTCATTTGCGTCACAGAAAAGCACTTTAAAATGAAACTCAGAAGCATTACTTGAGACAGAAGGCAGTTTCAGTCATTGAGGAATGATAAAAGACAGTATCCTGCCTTACTGAAGATAGCTGTTGTTCCTGTCTTTTGTTGGGCCTGGATGCAGTCTTTGCAATATACACTATTGGTTGATTAGCTATCAAAAATTTCAGGGAATAAAGAATTCTTCACTGAGACATGTCCACCTTTGATTTCACCTGAAAATAGACAATTAACAGAAAGGTGTTGAAGTTAGACTTCACATATAGAGAATCTATGTATTATTTCTAAATTATTGACTATTCAGTAATGATTTGTATTTCATTTCCAGATTGAAAATGGAGTTGCTGAGATAAATTTTAACAGTAAAGAGGCAGTGAGTTCTATAGGGTTTCAAAGTCTAGAGGAATTGGATGGGTCATATTTATATATTGTGGCATCAGTGCTGGAGTCTTCTGGTAAGTTGCTTTTTAATTTTATGGTTTTTTTAACATATCTGCAAATGTAAACAGATCTAGAAAACAAAACTGCATGGGTATCTTTCCTAGTATCAGACTTCCTTTAGTGTTCAGAAATCCTTCTTCCAAAACCTTATAAGAAAGAACAGCCCATCCACCACTGTAAAAATATTGAGGGATTAAATGTATTTAATTATTTGTTTTCCCAACATGCAAGGACTTGACTCTTTAGATGCAAGGACTTCACTGTCACAGTTTGTGTTGCTTTGAAGGCTCTAGGATGTGATTATTAAAAGGGGCATAACATTTTATTAGGTGGCCTCAGTGGTGAAGCAGAATTTGCTGGAGTCAGATTTGCTGTGTCTCCTTACAAATTGAGTTTGATTGCTACTCCTCTCTTTGTGAAGCCTGGACTTCCCTTCTTCATTAAGGTTAGTTAAAATAAACAGAATTGTTGCACATAAAAACACAAAAAGTGTGATGCAGAAGTCTTTTTCTTTTATATATATATTACTGTGGGTCTTGACACGCTTTTAATTTCCGTTGTCCATTTACTTTTTTTCCCTTGCTATTGTAGAAGCTTAGTGGTTTGAAAGTTTTCTCCTTGGAAAATGTCACCATTCATTTAAGAAATATTGTCCATTCTGATGAACAGGTGCAGGTGAAAGATACAGTCGATCAGTTTGTCAGAAACGTCCCTATAACCATCACTGCAAAATCACTGAGTGAGGAGATGGATGAGACTGAGTTGATATCAGAGGGATCAGAATCTGGGAGAAGAAGAACAAGCATAAATGATGGCACTGCTTTGTTTGTTGTTAATATCCCATCTAATAGCAAAATGCTGGAGTTTCAAGTGAGTTAATTCATTCCATTAATTTATTTTTTCAGGGGTTTAATTCTGTACTTTGGAGAATGTAAATCACTGACAGAAAGATTTAACACTCAAAAGTTAATACTTCATAAACTTAGAGACTTAAGAATAATCAGTTATGAAAGTGCTGTAATGAAACATTATTTCTCTATTAAATTCTATACTAAATTGTTCTAAAACAAAGTATCCTAATTTGTCACACTTAATTCATAATAGTTATTAACCAAAATAACCTAAATTAATTGTGTGAAAACATATGTCTTTGAGTGCTTCCCCCACTATGCAGGGAGACATATTAATATTTTCTGCTGTTTATTTGTGAACATGTTCTACACTACCCTTTTTTATCTGACTTGATATTTATAAATCTTTTTATGACACACAGTTTTTCTTTCCTCCTTTCCGAGAAAAAAATTAAGACATTTAATTATCTTTTCAGGTAAAAACTGCAGATCCACATCTTTCAGATGAAAACCAAGCAAGTAAAACCTATGAAGCAAAAGCTTATTCATCATTAAGTCATAGTTATCTGTATATTGACTGGGCTTCAAACCATAAGATACTGAGAGTAGGGGATTTCATAAACATTAAAGTATATCCACATAGTCATTACATTCATAAAATCCATCACTACAGCTATTTGGTAAGTAACAGGTGTTTCCACATGAAATACTGAGTTGTGATTTACTATATTGTGCTAAATGAAAAGCCTCACAATCCAGAACTATGCTCTGCATGGAATACATGCAGCTCATACAGCTGCTCCTCTCACATAAAATCCATCAGGCTTACAGTAAAGGATTGTTAACAGTCTCATGTTTAAATTATATATTAAGTTTTGAATTCTCATCTGAAATAAGCTGGGATTAAGAACAAGTAACACTAGTCTCAAGAGCTATTCCAGGAGTTGAAATAGAAAGGAAAAGTGTGTACAGACAGCACTTCTTTTTAGGAGATGAGGGAGAGAGCTACCTCCTTTGGTCTAGACCCACTGGCTCCAAGGGCATTTTTGTGTGTGTTGGATTATATCTGAGTGCAAGTAATTGTCAATTGTAAGAAGCATATTTAATATAAAACTTGACTTTGTCGTTCTCCATCATTTTTCTATTACAGATCATGTCAAAGGGGAAGATAGTAAGCTTTGGAACTCAGAAGAGAATTGAGAATTTGGAATATGAGCATCTGACTTTTCAGATAACCCAAGAAATGGTTCCTTCAGCACGTCTTGTTGTTTACTACATAGTCATGGGAGAAGAAACTGCTGAGTTAGTAGCTGATTCAGTCTGGCTGAACGTGGAACAGAAATGTGGGAACAGTCTTGATGTGAGTAGCAAAATAGGCACTAAAATTTGTGACTGTTCTTTCATTTTATAGTCATATTTTAACATGGACCTACAAAATTTTTTAACGCTTCCTTGACTTAGTGTCTGCCTTCAGGTGCATTTTTTTTAACAATGTGCTTTTAAAATTACCTGTATTTGTTTTCACTTTACAGGTTAAGCTGCAGCCAAGCAAAAAGATACTGAATCCAGCAGAAGTTGTATCACTTAACATGAAAACACAATTCAGTTCCTTTGTTGCCTTGTCAGCTATTGACAAGGCAGTATATGGAGTCACAGGAAGAGGAAAGAGAGCATTGGAAAAAGTTAAGTAGCCACAAATTAAAAACATGTTGGTATTTCTTTTATGTTCATATTCACATAGCTATTATGTCATGCATTCAGTAAGCCTGGAAATAAGGAGAAAGGAAATTCAAGCCAGAATAAAAGTAGCTGTTTTAAATCTGACAGTTCAAAATTATAAAAAGAATTTGCTTACAATATCTTTATTAACAGTAAGTAGCTGTGCTGGGGCTTGAATTGGCTCAGGTCTCACTCAGTGGTGTTCTTCAGTGTGTTGTGAGGACATCTTCCAGACTAGAGTGGCCTTTCTGCAAGTCTCTTTCATACATCGTCTGATAAATTCCACATTTTAGTTAGCTGCTGATGTGTTTGTTCCTCAGATAATGCTACTGCTGGAAAAGAGTGACCTTGGCTGTGGTGCAGGAGGAGGACAAAACAACATTGATGTATTCCGAATGGCTGGGCTTACATTTTTAACTAATGCAAATGCTGATGATTTAAATGTAGCAGGTAGATTCCTTTGTTTTGAGCATGAAATTGTCAATTTTCTTTTCTGAAATACTCTCTTCTGACTCTGTTATTATGTTGCAACATCGTTAAATTCAGAGGGAATGCATGTAGTAATGATTTTTGAGGGAGGAAAACATGACTTGTGAATCAGTTATTGTAACTGAAATGAAAATACTTCTATGTAAGTAAAATAGTAAACAGAAAAAGTCTCCCAATTTTTGAATGTTATGTTATAGAATTATTTCTAAGAGGGCTGTGCTGTTACAAAAAAGGTCACATCTTTTTGTACTTATTTTTTGAACAGGTAAAACTTGCAATGAAGTTGTAAGAGCCAAGCGATCTGACTTCAAGGAGCAGATACACAAAGCAGGTGTTAAAAATCTTTATAATTATATAATTATAAAAAAAAAACATCCATTAGAAATCAAGAGTCTGAGTGCTTACTACTTCTAATTGTTGTTATTAACTTAATGTAGTGGAGAGAGACTGACCAATATGGAAAATTACTTTGGAGAGGACCCCATTTATAAAGCCTTCTAGCCCTTTGCCAAATTTGAAGTTGTCAAGATTTAAGTACACATTGTTTTTCTGGAGAGAGAGAGCCTGAAAACTCACTGTGCAACCATAAATCAGTCTTTCCCAGTGACCACCTGCCAGGGACCAAGCCTGTCAGAAGAACCTTTGACTGTTAAATCTTAAAATGTCATAAACCCCTTGTTTTTTAGTGTATAATTTTAATTCAGAATAGTAGTGATTAAGCGTGTGTCACTGGCTTTTGAACGACGACCTTTGGAATCTGCGCCTTCACTAAAATTCTGCATGTTTTAAAAATACATTCAGTATAACAACTTAACATGCATTTGAAAATAAAAACTTAAGAAGGGAATTACTTTATTTTCAGCATCCAAATATTTACGTCCAGAAATCCGAAAATGCTGCATGGCAGGAGTGAGAGCATATCCAGTCACTGAGACCTGCAGTGACAGAGCGCAGCGGGTCCGTGGCAGCGAGAGGTGTGTTTCTGCCTTCAAGGATTGCTGTGAGTTTGCAAACCAGCTGCGGGAGAAAGAGCCTAATAAGCTGCTAATACTGGCCAGAATGCGTAAGTACCAGAGTTTTAACTCTACTGGGGACACGTGGTGAAGCACTTTGAGCTGAATGTGGGGAAGCATGGAGGTGATAGCTTTGTTCATCTATTAACCTCTCCCTATTGCCTGTCTGGGTTATTCCAGAAAGCGTTTTACCAGTCTCCAAAAACCCCTGAAGGGGGCAGGAGAGCAGGTCTTTAGTCTGTTAAGAGCTGGATTGTATCGACTCATATTTAGAACAAGCCGAACTGCAGTAAGAGAGGATCATTGCCTATGAAGACAATGTTAACTTGAACACTACATTTTGATCCCTTGCCCACGCCTGAAATAGCCAATGGGTAACATGTCAGGAAAGAGGAGAGGGAACCTGAAATTTCTTGTCTCCCATTCTCTCCCTGTAGTTGCTTGTTAACAAGTTAATCTGTTTGGATTTTGGACAGGTATTCACATGTATAAATATATGAGATGGGATTAACATGGTCTTTTGACTGAAAGTATTCAGATACATTTTTGCTTTTATCAGGTCTAGTGAGGATTTTTTTTCTTGCTTTATTTATGCTCGTCAGATTTTGAGTCTTTCTTGGAACTGGATGTGGCAGAAGTTCGTAGCTACTTCCCTGAGAGCTGGTTATGGGAAGTTCACCAAGTTTCTTCAAGGTACTACTTTTCTCACATCAGTTCCCAACATTTAACTTAGTCATAGTTTTATAGAAAGTAAATGCTAAAACTGAGGTAATCTGGGTAGCTCTAGCTGTACTCATGGTGTGTGATAAAATGCTGTGTTATACAAATGAACTTGCTGCCATGTTTTTCCCATGCAGGACATGCTGTCTGGGGCCCAGATTGTTGAATCACTTTTTCCTTCATGTTCAGCCTTGCTAAACACCAGCTTCTGTGAAGTCAGCTAAAACTAAGTTTATTCAAACAAAGTCCCAGAAGTCCTGTTTTCTAAATATGCTCCCATCTCTTGTCTTGCCTAAGTCTCTCTTAGATGCATGAATTGCTCTGGGCACTTGCTGCCTTTGTTGATTAGGTGTTGATGTTAGCAGATGGCAAATGAGAATGTATAAATGTACTAACACTTGTAAACACAGATCAAAGACTCTGTCTGTCACCTTGCCTGATTCACTGACTACCTGGGAAGTACAAGCTGTTGGCATTTCTGATAAAGGTAGGTCCTGCAACCTGGTCAGCTTGCAGCTAAAGAATTAGGGAGCTTTTATTTTGCAGAACCTCTCATTGCAGTTGACACTTCTCTTCTAAGATGTTCGTTTTATGGTTGATAAATGCGGAAAGAAAACATAAAAATATATATTCTAGGGGAAAGGAAATAAATTTCTTGTTCTGAATGTAAGTGGCTGGGAAAACAAAGCTTGTCTTGTGTTTGGCAGTGACCCATAATAAATAACTAAGAATTTCAGAACAAGTAGTGAGTGACTCTTCCCTGGCACAGCTTTACAGTGTCCAGCTATCCACTGTTCAGGGACTTGAGGAGAGGAAGAAACAAATTTTCCAATAGATATGGTAGCAGTCCAAATACAAAATTTCTCTCTCACTTTGGAAGGAATGAGAAGCAGCCCAAGGGACTGGTGTGTTGGTAAGTATGTGTGAAGAGTGGGAGACAGCACCTTGGAACCGGAAGCAAGAGCCTGGTCGCTTGTAAAAGAGCTTGGACGATTTTGAAGTATATGTTGAGAAATTATAAGTCGCTTGTAAAAGAGCTTGGACGATTTTGAAGTATATGTTGAGAAATTATAAGTCATCTGTAAAGGTGGCAAGTATGTTAAGACTTTTTGAATCTTCTTTATCAGAAGATAATCTGCTTTTATGTTTTTAATTTTCTTAGGTATTTGTGTTGCTGCGCCAATGGAAATGCAGGTTGTAAAAGATATCTTCCTGAGTGTTCATGTCCCTTATTCTGTGGTGCGAGGAGAGCAAATAGAGATAAAAGGATCAGTGTATAACCATAGAACTGCTGCAATTAAGGTAATTTGTGGACCTAGGGAGCTCTACAGAAAGTTTAACGTGATAAACTAAAATAGGATTTCCCCTGTGAATAGCCATTATAAAAAGTGGCTTGGATCAGATGTCTCCAGTCTTCCACCTAGTGTTATGTATGCTCTGCACAGCTATGCAGCAATTAAATTAAATAATTGATTATTTCATTTCCAGGCATTCCACCAATTACAATGTTATCATGCTCTTGCCTGGCAACTTAGTCTCATAGAAGTTAAAATTCAATTTTTCTTTTCCAATTGTTTGGACACTGTCAGAAAGTGACCACACTTTTTGAATTACCCACTCGTGAGTGCAGAGTTTACATTCCCTAGGGATTGAATATAAAAGGACTATTTTTAAGGTGATAAATTGAAACAGAAATGCAAAACTATTGATGAAAAAAATAGAGTATCCTCTCTAAAGGTGTGTGTAAGAAGAAGGTGTGTGTATGATACACTGTAGTGTATCCCTCATGTTGCTACTGAATGTTTGTTAGTGTCTGTAGTACAAGCAATAGTCATTCTAAAGTTGCTCACTGTAAACAGAAAAGTAGTATAACAGTAATAGAATGCTCATTGTAGTGGCTTTTGTATTTCTCTGGTGTTGAACTTGTCATGATGGTGAAACGTTTAAAATTTTTCAACATTTCAGTTCTGTGTTATAGTAGCAACTGGAAATGGGATCTGTTCTTTTGGAGATTCTGCAGCTGCTGGAGAAAGGATACGCAGTTGTAACTTTAAGAGCCTGGATGGTGGTTCTTCATCCCCAGTTACATTCAGGATACTGCCTTTGGAGTTGGGTCTTCACACAATCAACTTTACATTGCTGACAGCCAGGAACAGTGAAATTGTAGTTAAAACATTACGTGTAGTGGTAAGAAAAAGAGTCAAGGATTTGTGGTGGGTTTTAATTTCATAGAATCATAGAATCTTAGGGGCTGGAAGGGACCTCGAGAGATCATCTAGTCTAACCCCCCTGCCAGAGCAGGGTCACCTAGAGTACATCACACAGGAACTCATCCAGGGGGGTTTTGAATGTCTCCAGTGAGGGAGCCTCCACAACCTCCCTGGGCAGTCTGTTCCAGTGCTCTGTCACTCTTACAGTAAAAAAAATTTTTCAGATATTCACCTTGAACCTCCTATGCTCCAATTTACACCCATTACCCCTTGTCCTATCACTGGTCATCACTGAGAAAGGCCTATCTCCGTCCCCCTGACACTCACCCCTTACATATCTGTAAACATTGATGAGGTCACCCCTCAGTCTCCTTTTCTCCAAGCTAAAGAGACCCAGCTCCCTCAGCCTTTCCTCATAAGGGAGATGTTCCACTCCCTTCATCATCTTTGTAGCTCTGCGCTGGACTCTTTCGAGCAGTTCCCTGTCCTTTTTGAACTGAGGGGCCCAGAACTGGACACAATACTCCAGATGTGGCCTCACCAATGCAGAATAGAGGGGGAGGAGAACCTCTCTTGACCTACTAACCACACCCTTTCTAATGCACCCCAGGATGCCATTGGCCTTCTTGGCCACAAGGGCACATTGCTGGCTCATGGTCATCCTCCTGTCTACCAGGACCCCCAGGTCCCTTTCACCTACACTACTCTCCAGCAGTTCAGCCCCCAATCTGTACTGGGATATGGTGTTGTTCTTCCCCAAATGTAAAACTCTGCACTTCCCCTTGTTGAATTTCATCATGTTTCTCCCCGCCCAACTCTCCAACCTATCTAAGTCTCTCTGAATGGCAGCACAGCCTTCTGGTGTGTCAGCCACTCCTCCCAGCTTAGTGTCATCAGCAAACTTGCTGAGGGTACATTCTATACCCTCATCCAGGTCGTTGATGAAGATGTTGAACAACACCGGATCCCAGTACCCACCCCTGTGGGACTCCACTAGTCACACACCTCCAACCAGATTCTGCCCCATTGACTACAACTCTCTGACTCCTTCCTTTCAACCAGTTCCTAATCCACCTCACTTCCTGATCACCAAACCCATACCTGATCAACTTATCTTTCAGATCATAGAATATTGATTGAGTCACAGGAAATAAAAATATAAATATTGCTTTATTTTAATATTGTCAGAATCCAAAACATCACATGGTATCATTGAAATCAGTGAGGTGCATGCAGTGGAGAAATGCATGACTGACTATTTGAGTACACACATTTTTAAACTCTGATTATAAGAATTTTCATAAAGATTATATATATAGATTATAAGCTAATAAGCAAGGAAAATACTGTATTCTAAGTTACTTGATTCAGATTTTCAGCTGCTCAAGCAAGACACTTTTAGGTAATTTTATACTTTTTTAAGCTTACATTTAAAATTTAAGTTTTCTCAATAATTTAAGGAGGTAGAACTAGCTTGAATGGATGCAGAATAGATGTAGAACAGTTAGGTAAAACTTAACCACAGAAAATTATGTAGAATACAAAAAAACCTATAGTTTTGAACTGTTGTTTCAGTTAATATATATGATGAAGCAAAAGTGTTTTCTTTTTCTGCTTCTTTCCTCTTGATTCCAGCCAGAAGGCATTAAGAAGGAACTTCATGCAGGTTTCATTCTGGATCCACAGGGTCTTTATGGTGAGGGAGCTGATCACATATATCTTTACTTTGATTCTTAATATTCTTGATTCATAATTATGAAGTTTTCTGTGATGTGAAAGAATTGGCATTTCTCCTTCCTGAAATGTTCTTCATGTGTCCCTTCCAAGGATATCCTGTCCTTTCATTGACTAACAAATCCACCTCAAAATAGCTAGTCTTTCAAAAAAATACTTGGATTCATTTCTTAAAGGAATGTTTAGGTTTATCTTTTACTAGGATAGAATATTAAGCTTTTCTTGGTGTGCTTGAAAACCAGTTAGCAGGTGCTTTATTCATGAAAATAGAATATGATTTTGTTTAACCAGAAATTATTCTGAAACTACAAAGTTTAGGTCCAGGTCAGATTTTTTTTCTTAACAAAAAAAAGGAAAAGAAATATTGAAGTGTTCACATTGGTTGTTCTTTGAAGGTTGATATTGCTTGCATGTGCATTTGACCATATTTTTGCTTTCCATATTATCATAAGTATTTTTGTTGCTGACTTCTTAGGTAGTTGTAACCTTTACGTCTGGCTGTTACATCTGAACCACCTATTGATTTAGGTTGTGCAGTGTGATATGTACATCTACATTTTCAATTATAGGTTCAATCAAGAGACGGCAAGAATTTCGGTACAATATACCACTAAATCTGGTCCCTAAAACAAAAATTGATAGAAGTGTCAGTGTAAAAGGTAAATTGAATATAAACTTTTGACTGAAAATATGCAGTATGCATTATGTCTACTGCATATGTTCTTTCTTTATGTATGTTCTTTTCCTCCTATTTCATATTCCTTTTTTTGTCTGAATTTATTCCTAGGTTGTTCTTCTTTTGAGAAAAGACTTTGCAGATAATGTTTCTGTGTAGAATTTTAGATACTTCATAAAGAATGATTGATATAACTGTCAGATTCTGCCCCTCAATTCACTTTGAAGATCTCTCATTTAAATCAGTCTTGTTGTTTTCTTTATTTACAGGACATCTTATGGGTGAAGTGATTGCCACTGTCCTCAATCCTAGTAGTCTCAATGTCCTTATTAATCTGCCCAAGGGCAGTGCAGAGGCAGAGTTTATGAATATTGTCCCAGTATTCTATGTGTTCCACTACTTGGAAGGATCAGATAATTGGCATTTACTGGGTCCTCAAACCTTAACTTCAAGAACTCAAATGAGGAGGAAGATGAAAGAAGGTAGAAAAATACAGCTTATTCTCTTGTTTCAGAGTTGTAGAGGCTCATAAAATTTGATAAAGATAATATAACTGAGTGAGCAAATATAATTTTAATATAAACCTCTTTTCAAATTTTTTTTTTGCCTAATATCTCCCTTAGGGATTGTAAGCATCTTGTCATTCAGGAATTCTGACTTCTCATACAGCATGTGGAAAAATGGGCAAGCGAGCACGTGGTGAGTTGAAAAGTCTTTTGATTAGAATGGATGGAGAAGGCTCATTTCACTCTTTGCTTTAAGATTATAACTAATTTTTAAAGTGTGATACTTTCTAGTAAGCATGAGAGGTGAGCTTGATGGTAGATTTAAAGGATGGTTACAACTTAAGATAATACCATTTGGTTCCTTGTTTTCACTGGTTCAATCTTTGGTGTCCATTGTTCCCACCATTACAACTAAGTTAGGCCAACATTTGGGAATAGAAAATTGATTCTAGTTAAAAATTGAGTGATCATTGCCACTTTGTTAAGCTCAATTAAAAATTCATCTGCAATTATTTATTTGGATTGTGGGAGTGTGTAGCAGACCTATATCATAAATAGTACAATTGTGTTCAGCCTTTAGCAATGTGGCGGTATCTGCTCTTCAAAACAAATAGGATCTGTTTGATTTCCTTGGCAGGTTGACAGCTTTTGCTCTAAGAATTCTTGGACAAGTTAATCAATATATAATTCTTGATCAAATTTCGGTTTGTAATTCACTTCTGTGGTTGATTGATAACTGTCAAATGCCAGATGGGTCATTCAGTGAATTTTCAGATTACCAACCAGTAAAACTACAGGTATGAAAACCAAACATGTTCTCTGCATATACAGTAAAAGCTGAAGTCAATAGGATAGAATGTGTTAGAGGAATGCAAGATATTTCACCAGAACACCTATTCAAGACAATTTTGCTAAATTTGCATTTTTCTAAATTAATTTAAAGAACAGCACAATCTTGCAAACATTTCTGTTTTTCCACTGTAAGTAGCTGCTTGCCACTTCTTAATATTAAGAAAAAAAATATGTAGGGAGATTTTACAGTGTAGTAGTTGTGGCTTTCCAAGAACTTGATATAATTTTGTTTCTTTTAACAAATAAGCTGTTATCTTCAAAAGAGTCAACAAATGTTCAGGTTAAACCAAACTGGGATTTCTTACAGGAATTTCTATTTGTTTCCTCACCTAAACTGCAAAGAAAAAAAATGTATTTAAGTGTAATGTTGCTTCTGTTTATTTATATTTGCATATTTTATTTTGTAGGGTACACTGCCCAGAGAAGCAAAAGAAAAATCTTTGTACCTCACAGCATTTTCTATTATTGGAATTGAAAAGTCAATTAACATATGTCCTACTCAGGTAAATAATGTTTTTATTTCTACCAGCACTCATGGTCTGGGATTCTAATTTCTTCCACTTCCTTTAACATTCATTCAGAGAAATCAAGAGGGTTTTTTAATTTCAGAGATTAATATTTATTTGCTCTGTTAGTCTTTGTCTTTTGAAATATGTAGAAGAATAATGATTAAGTTCTCGTTAGCTTTATCACAAGATATATGTAGAAGACACCTTGTACATTTGTATTGTCTTGATAAATGTGTTCCTTTTAAAATAAGTTAAATAGATGTTAGCTGTAGCCTGTTCATCTTTTCAGAGAATCCATGATGCTAAAAATAAAGCAGGAGATTATTTGATGAAAAATGTTGGGTCAGCTCAGAGCCTCTTCACCATGGCCATCACTTCCTATGCTTTAGCTCTTGTGGATTTGAACCATCACTCGGCACGGTTGGCATTCTCTGCCCTGAAGAGGGAAGCCTCTGTCATAGGTATTACTGAACTCTCTCCAGTCTGTACTGGAGTTGGCTGTCAGGTGGGCTGTTCTTTCACTCTTCTTTGATTCTCTCATGTGATGGCACTACTTGGAGAGTGAATTTCAGTAGTGCTTGCTTTGGCATAAATGAAGTGGGCAATAGCTGGCCCTGTGTAGCCTGGGAAGAGCTGTTGTGGTTTCCATCTGAAGCCTTTGTTTTATACTTCTGTAGGTGACCCTCCTATTTATCGTTTTTGGAAAGATACTTTCAAGACAGTAGACCAGCACACTCCCAGCTCTGTTACTGCACAAATGGTTGAAACTACAGCATATGCCTTGCTTACTACTTTGCTAAGAGGGGACCAAAACTATGCTAATCCAATCATCAAGTGGTTATCTGAAGAACAAAGATATGGTGGAGGATTTTTTTCAACCCAGGTAAACTTAGGTTTTGTTTTCATTCTTCAAGTGCCAAAATCTGAGATGCCTTAAGAGGTAAATATCATGAGATTATGATATTGACAATGTTGATGTCCTCCTGTGTATGGAATTAGTATCAAATGACTGTTGCCATGGTATTCTTTGTCTCTGGAAAATACCACTTCTTTTCATGAAGTCTGTTACAAACAGAAATTTACAAGCTGATTCTGAAAAGACTAATAGGAGAAAAACTGTTTTTCCAAGGTTTTCATACATTATCTTTTCAGGATGTAATGTTTATTCTTGTTTTGTGCAAAAGTGGAACAGTGTGAGAAGGTTTATGCTTTTTCCTGTAAAAGCTGGGTTAGTATGTATGAATAGACTAAAAGTCAAGTGAAAAGTGCCAGATTCCTAACACTCCATCAACTAGTCATACAATATAGAATATTCCAAATCATGCAACTTCCCTTTTTTTACTATTAAAAATGTATGAAGAAACTGATGAGTGCTGGTTTTCTTTACTGGTATTTGTTTGCTTCCTCTTTAGTACTTGGGTGTTGTATCTTTACATGGAATAGGTGTGTCTATGAGTATAGTGTTAAATGTGTTGCCAGCCTGGTAACGTACTGTTGAGCCACTGCTGAGCTGTTTAGCTAGTCATGGTTACCAGTATGTGTAATCATCTTTCAGTGGCAGAAAATAAATTGCTTTGTAGTACACTGTCACTTCTTTTTAATTTCTGAAATTACCTCTTTATAATTCATTTCTGGCAGGACACAATTACTGCCCTTGAAGCCTTGACTGAGTATTCCCTTCTTGCCAAACGGCTTTATTTGAACATGAGTGTGAAGGTGTCATACAAAAGCCATGGGAACCTTCAGCTACTTACACTGACAGAAGATAATTTCGTGGGAAGAACTGTGACAGTGAGTGAATAGTATCACTTTGGAAAAGTGAGAGCAGAATTCTTAGTAACTTGTTAAATAATTACTTGAACTTGCTACTAAAGTAGTGATTTATGTTTATAAAACTGGGAGTAATTTGGTGGAGGGAATGTTTAAGTACTTTATCTGCTAAATTTAATCATTTGAATTTTCATTTAAATTTAGTGTGTCTGCTGGTTCCTATGAAGTGTTTTTTGGTAGAAGCTGTTTGTAGCATCAGGCCTTCATATGTATATAAAATGTAGAAAAAACAAGCAGATGAACTGACCTGCATTGCTGCTGTTAGTGCTATCTTTATTAACTTAGATTTTTGTTTAATATCAATCCTTTAGGTACCTTTGGATGATGACATATATGTAAGCACTGGAAGCAGCACTGGCATAGCTACAGTAAATGTAAGCGTGCAACCTGTTTTTTAAAATGGAATATATTGCTTGTTAATGTCAACATGGAAAAAGAAACTGAATTCCATTTGTTGCCCTTACCTTTAGACTGAAGTGGTGGGTGTCATTGTGGCCACATTTTAGATTAAGTACAAGCCCCTGTATGATGTAGGGCTAATGAGAGAAAAGTTGTGAAGTTTATTCTTCTTCACTGAAGGTTTTCTGTTCCATAAATCTAAATAGAATTAACAACTTGAGTTTAATGCTCATCAATTACTGCTATCTCTGGTTAGACAACCACACAGGGAAGACCCAACTCAGTTATTAGTTTTGAGAAATTGCTCAATTCTCTGTTATTCTGGTAACTACTCTTAGTTTATTAAACAATGTCACTGAAAATTTGCTTTCTTGTAATATGTAAAGGAATAATTATCATGTGCTTAAATATTAAGCTATTGCCATTATATATTTTCTTCTACTCTTTCCTAGACTCTTCTAGCATCAAAATTAATAACATCTGAAATGTACATGTTCTTGTGTACTAGTATTTACATTAGTGAAACATCAGGAGTTGTTTGGATAATACTTTTAGACTTATAAATAGGAGCAGCAGAGTGGGGTGTTTTTGCTCAAGAATTCCCCATTTATTTCTGTGCTGCTCATTTGTTTACTCTGCTTTGTGTCCATCAAACAAATCATGCAGCACAGATTTGTTTTACTGCTATTGTATTATCCACATTATGAATTCTCACAGATTTATGCCAAGAGGATTGCTTACTGCTTCTTTTTGTTTAATTTATTTGTGTGTGTGTAGGTGAGGACAGTATATAACACAATTGGTACTTCTGAGGACTCATGTAACTTTGATTTGAAGATTGTTCCAAAGAGAGATGATGGTAAAGGATTAATATGGTTTTAAATATTACTACTCAGGTCAGTGCAAGGGGGGGAGAAAAAAAACCACCTTATTTTAACAAAGTGTTTCATTTAAGAACAAAACTGTAATAAATTCTGCCCATTTCTAAATGCAAAACTGCAAAAGAAATTTCTAGAAGCCTTTTCAGCCTTTCCCTAAACTATTGTTTTTTTGTGAATGGAAGTAATTTTAAATGTATTTCTATGAGGTGCATTTTTACTCATTTATTGGAAGAGTTTTTGCAGTTGGGGGAGTGAGGAGTACAAACCTACAGCAGAAGAATCTGTTGGGGGATGGTGGGGTGACAGTGAATTCTACAAGGTACTGTGAGTACCAGTCCAGTAACAAGATATATAACCACATTCTGAGCTTTTGCCATGAAGTAGTTTTAATAACAGAAGTGCATCATAAAGTACATTAAGCATTAAAGCTGTCATTTCACCTGAATTATAAGTAAAAGAAGTCTCATATTACTTGTTTGTGGCTAGACAGTGGGTTCCTATAAAGATAGCCATCAAAACAATTCAAAGAATTCTCTCAATTATGAAAATGCTCCATGAAATATTTGGATTGCTGCTTCTGAAGAGTTATAAAATTACTGATTTGACTCTACTTGATATGAAAAGGTCACCTAAGAGAAGATGGGGAGCCCCTCGGGCGCTTGGAGGCTTGTGCAAAGTGAGTACAACTGGGGGGGCTTGGTGCTGGTCTTTTCCCTAGTGACTGAGCCTATGTACACATTATTAAATTATTCTAAGACTGTTAACAAGAATTTCTAGTCTTTTGGTTTTCCTTAGTTACTGTTTTAATATTAGATAAACTGACATATTTGTAATAAGTTTCTTTTCATTTGAAGATAGTAAAATGCTTTTGGTTTTTAATAACAGATCAGAAGACCAGATGCAATTCTGTTTCTTCCCTTTTGTGTATATATGTGAACAGGATTAGAGCCATAGGTCATGATCTTTTGGGGAGGGAGTTTTTCTTAAATTTACGTATGGATTCTCCTGGAACATAAATACTAAGAAATGCTTATTTATTCATGATATTGGCATAAACCTGGGATTATTCACCTGGGCTATTTTTCTTCATTACAGGTTTACTGTGGTCTAAATGTTGATAGAATTTGCGTTGGGTTTTCTGAGATCACATTTGAAGATTTCTCTTTCAGTTATGTTTAACTAATACTATTTTAAATCTATTTTAGGTACAGACCCAGTGTGAGAGAGCCACGGTCAGGGTCTGCTCATGCTGTGATGGACATAGGTTTGGTCAGTGGATTGGAAGCAAATACAGAAGATTTATCTACTGTAAGTTCCAAGTTTTTTGACAGAACTATTGTATCTACCACTCTTCATCATCTTTGTTAGTACAGTAGTGTAGATTTGTATATTGTAGCTGCAGTGTTTCTAAACACTTTTAATACTAATGAGAATACTCTGTTAAGTCTAGATTGTGGATTTTTGATGGAGCCAGGAGCTAGACATCTAGTTAAAGTTTGACAGCTAGGCTCCCTCTGTTAGAGGAAAGACAAGACCAGACAGAGTGGTTGTCTTCTGTGTTAGGGTGTTGTGCACCAACCTCTGGAGATGCTATATCTGCTGACTGTGAAGGGAGCACTGTTAGTGTGCACACCTAACTAGTAGTTGGCTAAAGTTTGTGTGCTGAGTCTTCTGAATTGTAGTGCTTGTGTTCATCCAGCTCCTGTTGACAACTGTGGGTTTTAGCTAGAGGCAATCAGAGATTTACAGGATTTAAGCAGTGCACTGTACATGGCTCAAGCATTCTTTTAAGGATAATTAGCTCTCAATTCTTTATTATCTTCATGTAATGAGTAAAAAGGTAATTTTCTTAAACCCAAAAAAAGAAGTGAGAGTTATGAGCATCATAAAGAAGTAATGCTAAAACAAGGGCTTTTTACATCTCAGAATTGTGTTAGAACTACTAGTCACAAAACCATCAAAAATAATACATAAATATTGAACTGAAAGAAAAGTTGTTTCTCTCTTTTTCTCCCCTGCAGCTTGCAAGTGGAGTGGATCAGTTGATAGCAGATTATGAGATAAAAGATGGGCATGTTATTCTGCAGATAGACTCTGTACGTTACCCTTTCCATAACTGTAAGCACCATTTCACCTCCTGGGAATGATTTTGTTTTCTCTGCCGCTTCTTCATTCCCGTGTCTCTCCCACAGGTGCCAGCCAATAGTTTTCTCTGTGTTGGGTTCCGAGTAAGTGAGCTTTTCCGTGTTGGAATGCTGAGTCCTGCCACATTCACTGTGTATGAATATCATGCTCCAGGTATGTGTTCCATGTCTGCAAAAGTACTGTTTGTCTTTTAACTCTTTCTTCCTCCTGAATAACTACATTTTTTCTTCTTCAATAGCTTTTTAATTGTTATTTTAGACTCTGGTAACTTTTGACTCAGAGTTTCAGGGCTGACTTCTTGGACTTTGATTTTCTCTATGTATTCATTATTTCTTTTTGGATCTTCTAGATAAAAGATGCACTATATTTTATAACCCTTATGGAAATGAAAAGCTTGTGAGATTGTGTGAAGGAGATGAATGCAAATGCATGGAAGGTAAACTTTTTTAAGATGTTTTCCCATTTCACTTGGTTGGAAAAATGCAGTGTAGTGCTTTGCACAAAACCACAGCTGTTCTCTCCAAATTTGACATTAAAAAAATTTATTTTTTTTTAAAGTGCAGGAAGATCATGGATGTCTGACTGGATTAAGTTCGGGTGGTTGAGAGTGTTGTTTTGTATTTTAAATATTCATTGTTACAGCATGCAATCCCAGTGTTTCTCAGTTACAGCACATATCCCAAACAGGTAGAGGTTCCTGCTGTTTTATTTGAGGAGATGTGATGACATTGTCTAACAGCGGCCTTTTTGTTTCTCAATGTAGCTGAGTGCAGTGAAGTACAGGAGAGACTGGATCAGTCAATAACTGCTGACAGCAGGAGAGCAGTTGCATGCCAGAGTGATATTGCATATGGTAATACTTGAATTGTCATTACCTATTTCATGTTCTGACTGAAAAGTTTACTTGTGTAATACAGCTGCAAAACATTGCCTTGCAATTAGATCTTTGTGATTAAAATTCAGTAGCCTTGGCTGTGGCAAATGGTACATGAAGAAGCCATTGGTGCAGCGAAGAGTAAGTGCTGCCCATACCCTCTGCTAATTAACAGGGTTAGTGCAGCAGTGAGCCTGATCTGAGGAGTTCTGCTAATGAACATTGTGTTAGCATCCTAACCTCATCATGTGGCTTGGAGGTTGTGCGGCACCAGATGAGAACATGGGTGGAGTTTCCATCAGATTAGAGCATGGCTAGAGCTTGTTACTGTTTCTTTGCCCTACAGTGTATAGCTATAGCCATCTTTTCTCTGAAATTAGTCTTGTAAAGGGACATTATATTCTCCATCTGAGCACCTGTAAGACATTCAGTATGTATGGCAGGAGCAAGGACTAACAAAAGTTTTGGTCTGTGTTGTTCTGCAGTTTATAAAGTGAACATCTTATCACAGAGTGAAGAAGGTTCTTTTGTAAAGTATTCTGCAGCTCTTCTGGACCTCTATAAAAGGGGTGAGTGTCCTGTTCTTAATCCATCTAACATTTAATTTAGATTCAAAGATGTCTGGTTGAAACCGCAGAAGCAGCTGACAAAAATCAGCAATCAAACCTAGTAATTTCATTACAGTAGTAACTGTAGTCTCAAATACAGCTTTTGAGAATCCTTTTGTGCCCTGAGAAGAGCAGTCTTTGATATTTTTAAACAGCTTTGGAAGAGGTAGTTGCTTGTGGTTCCTGGGGAACTGAAGCTAATGTTCCCTCATTTTTCCTCTAAGTACCCAGCATGTCCTTATAATTACTATAATATAAAATTATTTAATGTGCGTGAGGCTTATTTACCATTCCAATTTAATTTTAAACATGTTTTACAAGAAACATATTTAGATCATCAACATTTTATCTTATACAACTAGTGGCAAATAGATCCCTCAGCTGTGCTGGACTGCAGAACATTTTAGTGTTTCCTACTTAATGTACTAGTGACTGGAAATTCTTTGTCAAATTTTCCAATTCTTGACATTTCTACTTCAGGGCAGGCTTTTGCTCAAAAAAATAATGAAATAACCTTCATTAAAAAGAAGAGCTGCACAGATGTTGAATTGAGGCCAGGAGAGCAGTATTTGATCATGGGAAAAGAAGCCTTAAAGATGAGAATTGGTTACAATTTCAAGTAAGTCACTTACCGTTAGAATATGCAGAGATTTAATCTTAGTGTGCTGTGAAGTGGCAAGTGTTTGTATGTAATAATTCTTAAGCAGTATATAATTGACGTAATTTTTAAAGTATGAGTTAAGTAGTTACACAGTGTGTTTTCAGATGTGTACATTAGAAGCAGGATTTTGATCACAAACCAACCAATGACATGTTGTATTTTTTTTTTCTGTTTGACATCTTCCTCCCCAAATCTTAGTAGCAAATTGTCTTCATCTCTTATCTTCTTAGATTCCAGTATCCTTTGGACTCCAGCACTTGGATTGAGTGGTGGCCTTCAAATGCAGCATGTACATCTTGTCAGGAGTTTTTAATGACAATGGAAGATTTTGTTGAAGATCTTCTCATCAGTGGCTGCTGATTTACTCGGACAATTTTTAAATTAAAAATATGGATAAAATCTCACATATATAAAATAAAAATCCTCACCTATTTAGTAATTATTTCCTGAACATAACATCCATTTAATAATTCATCTTGAGAAATTATCTTTGCTCATATTTCATCCCCATGTTCCTATAACATAGTAATGATCAAAGTACAGTTTTTAAGCCTGGATGGGAGAAGAATGCAGAACTGCAAAGACATTTGAAGTCAGTTGAAGTGGATTAGTTGTAAAAACAACCACAGAAAGTACTGTCTTGTGCCAGAATAACACTTAAAAGCATGAAATTCTGATGCCTTCTATAAAATAGAATCCTCCCTTCATTAAAAAAAAAAAAGGCAAAATAAAATTGTTTATGAAATTTTGTTACAACTTTAATGTCCAAGCAAATAAAAAAATAATCTGTCTAACTTAGTACAATAGCACACACAAACCTGGAACAAACCCTTACTGCCATCTCAATTTCTTTATAATTATTATTTTAAATGTTCACTTTTTAACTTCATTAAAGTGCTGCAGTTGTGAGCTGGATGGGAGACAGTTCCTAAAGCTGTTTTAGATTGAGCCAAGAACCATCATGAAGCCAGGTGCTCCTCACCTATTGCTCTTTTAATTCCCTTGGACCTGCAGATGACAAAATCTTGCTCTTTTCACCCAAGCCAGTATCCAGGCATTTATCTTAGTATGGTGAGTGACATTTTTCCTGTGGCATGTAGTTAGAGTGACAGATACTTCAGATATTTCAACTGATTTTAAATACTTTTGATCATCTTGCATTTAATGCTTCTTCTGGTACTGTTGGTATGTCATCCATCTCTAGAGAAAATAGGCTATTTTAAAACTAATACTATCTCACTGCTTGTATTTTAGAAAGACCATAGTTTGGATATTAACCCTGCAGTCTTGATAAATAAAAAATTAATAACTGTGCTGGTAACTAACAATAGCATAAATTATAAAAATGTTCAGAACTCACATGGAATTATTTTAGTGTTTTTAGTGGAACAGACTTTAATGTTAATTTAAAGAAAGTCTGGGTATGTCCATGGCATTGTCTCATGTATAAAAGCTTGCTTTCCAGGTAGCTAAAGCTGTTTATCCTGGATTTTTACACCATACTTCTTTATTTTTGAATATTTTTTTTCCAGGATAAATTACTCCTCTTTTTATTTATTTTATTTGAAGGAACATACACAGCCCTTGCAACACTCCTCTCCCACTTTGACAGGAACAGCAGAGGGAGCACAAGAACATCATTTTCCTGTGTGTCCCATAAATATTAGTACTTTACTCCTCCCCCTGCTTACCACTGTGAGAAACAGAAATAGGGGAAATTAAAAACAATAAAACAAAATCTAGAACTATAGAAGGGCAACTAGTTTCTCAGTCCATAAGAGCTATGCAGAGCAGTCTTTGGTCTGCAGTGCTGACTTGTCACTCTGGCCCTCCTTCTGTCTTTGCTCTCTTGAAATCTCTGCTTCTCCTGGGAATCTGTAGCGCTGCAGGAGGAACTACCAGAACAACATTTCTGAGGCAGCTTCCTTGAGGCTCCATTTTTAGTGGAATGATGCCCATTAGAGAATAAACAATCTTTCATCTTAATTTGCTTTGTGTCTTCACAATTCAAATGTGTATGATTTGGGAATGAATAGGTTGTTACTCTTCCAGCCTTCTCATTGGTTTGGTTAGGTAAGTTCTTACTGCAGTCCTGAAATTTTTAATCTGCATTTAGGTTGATTAACTGGCAGTTTGAGTGTATGCCCAGTGCTAAATCTTCTGGGTTTTATATTTTCTTCATAAGAGAACATATTCTACAACACCTGTGTTTGGAAGATCTGGTGTCAAGCATCAGTGCGTAAGCCATGAGTAGCTCACAAGCTTCTGAAGAACCTATGGAAAAGTACAGGAGCTGTGCAGCTTCCATGTACATTTGTCCTCTATGCAAAATGTTTCTGCAGAATCCAGTGCAGATCCCACATGGGCACAATTACTGAATGTCCTTTGTCATCTGGTTATTAAGGTAATTCCATCATGGAAAACAATGATGGTAAATATTTTCGGTCTTTATCAGTCCCTGCAAATAAAACTGCATTGTGCCTAGATGGGAGGTTTATGCAGCATTTGTAAAACTTGTGGTGCTGAAGGTGCTCTAACATTATGGTTAGTGGCTCTTACGCATTGCAGTGGCCACCATGCTCAGTCCTGGTGGAGGAGCTGGAGGTTAAAGAAGTCTGAAGAGAGTCTTGCTCTTCTCCCAGCATGGATGCTCCTTGCCTGCTGGTATAAAACTGTTTGTACAGCTTTGTAAATAAATGCGGCCACTTCATATGCTCCCTGTGAAAGAAACTATTTTATTCCCTAAGTTTTCCTTTTGTGCTCTTTTTGAATTCCTGCATTTCCTTCCTGACACTAACTGATGCCATTTTTATGCTCTGCAAAAAAAAAATAAAAAATAGTCCCAACTAGTATATGTGCCATTCATTCTTTGATTGTAAGACACAGACTGCATCGGTGTCTGCTGTCACTTAGGAGGACTTGCACCAAATGTTACTTTGGCATTTGATGACTGAATTTGACAGTTAAAAAGCTTGCCTTGCCTCCAGAAAAGTGGCAGATGAAGGGCCAAAGTCCCTTCTCACAGCTTCTGGCACAAATCAGTTTGGTTCCCAGTAAAATTGAGAAGAGAGCTGGATGCAAAGTACAGCTGCACACATCTGTATTTTTATTGAATAGTTGCCCAAAAGCAGCACATCCAAGAACTTTAAAGTTATGGTTTTCCCTCTCTCAGGAATATCCTTGATCCAGAGTGTTTAATATATGGAAAGAAGATGGTCACAGATGATGCAATTCTTAATTTTGGCTCTGTAAGTATTATTTTTTAAACCCTCCAAACTTTCCTAAGAAGCAGAAGAAGATAATGCTGTATCCAGTAATAAGTGGCTATAAACTCAAATTGCAGAGAAAAGTCCATTGAAATGCTTGCTGAGGTTGCCTAGGCAGTGTACCTGTAACCACTTCTATTTCTGAACTGTACAGTGTTGTTGTGAGGAGAAGTGATTGTGAGAGCTAATTCTCTCACAAGAGTGATACACCTTCTCATAAACCCCCTTTTCTCACATCTGATGACAAATGCAGAGTTACTGACTCAACTATTCCTGCTAAGGTGGAACCTGAAGGTTCCTTTAAAGCACAATGATGTCATTGTTTGAAAAAGATCAAATTACATTCAGATGTCACAGCCACGGGTCATGATTGTGGAGGTGACCAATGGAGGAAGATTTACCTTCCTCATGTGGCATGGCATGAGAACCACAGGGGGAAAGGTGCATCTGTGTCTTCATCTGCTTCTCACGTGCAGGTTATGTTTGCAGATTTCTATCAGATCTAGTTAGTAAGGCAAGAGAAGATGGAAATGACATGGGATTGATTCTGGTATCCACTGCCATGCTAACCCCAGTGACTTGTAGTTGGAGAGTTCTGAGGTACTAAGCAACTCACAGGATTAATCCCAGCAAAAATGGAAATTCTTGGAATAATCACTGCTTAGATGACTCATCTGTATTCTTAAGTGCAAATTATTTCAGAACACATTTTGTACTTCCATGCTTCCTGGGGATTCTGAACATCAGAAGGGTCCTTTTATATCTGAATTGCTTTTCTATTCCTTGGTTGTTTATATACGTGGTGTCCAAGTCCCCAAATGTTCCAGGCTTTGAATCACCAGCCTTAGTACTTCCAGCAAAACGTGCATTCCACTGCTGCACTTTTGTAGTCTGCCCAAAAGCCTTTCTCTGTGGGTTTACTGCTCTGCCCACATATTAATGCCCTTGCCCAGAAAACTGTGTGCTTTATTCCTCATTTCTTCTCACATCTCATAGGCCAGAGAGGACTGGCCTTGTCTGCCAGTCCTGGCAAGATGCCAAGGAGCCCTGTATAAATGAGGGGGTTTATTGTCATTTATTGACAGAACAGCACATCATGATCAACCTGCCTTCCCGAGTGAACTTCAGGGCTGCTCCTGGGGTTAGACACAGATAATTTCTGAAAGCAGGACCCGCTTAAGTCAATTGAATGAGTTTGGTCATTAGACTTTTATTCCTTTTTAATATATTTCCTAGATCGGCCTTTGAATAAGAGAATTCACCAGATGTCATTCTAATGCAATTCACCCTGAATGCTCTTGGCAGACATGTAAGACCTGAATTGGTGAAATTCCTGAGGGAAAAACAATTCTAAGGGTCAGTACTATGTAAGCCTTTTAGTACTTTTAAAATAGATACATTTTGTAAATTTGTTGAAGATTTCTGTAAGTTTCCTGTATTTTACTGAAGTTTAGATAACTGTCACAAAGTGAACAGATTTCTCTCTTCACTTCATTGCAACCAGAAATTAATCTAATTGATCCAAGCTAGTAAGTGAGTTGAAAAGACCAAATTCCAGCCTATTGTGCCTAGTGACACATGAAACTCTTTTGGGCTGGTCATGAAGGCTGCTCTGCTACCTCTAACTGCTGTGACTAATTTGGGAAGAGAGCCAAAGGGTGCCATTCTCTGGTCATTCCTTTACTAGCAGGGCAGGAATTATTTTGTGTATATGAACTTTCAGCTCTAAGTGGCCTTAGCCAGATGAGTGCTCTGTCAAAACTCTTTTAGAATGAGGAATACCCCACAATTTTAGAAGAAGAATCCTAAATCCCAGGAGCAGGTTTATATTCTTGCTTTTTAACACCTTGATACATCTAACTGTGTGTCATCATTCTTTCTTGGCTGACCTGAAAACATACCATATTAAATATCTGGTGAAAGAAAAAATTGCTTACATGAGCTAGTAGGATGCAAGTGCAAGTTACCAAAAAAGCTTTGTTATTATGGTATACTCAGAATGTGAAATGATCTGGAAGAGGAGTGATACTTCAGCACACCTAGTTGTTTTTTTTCAGTGTATTGGGCAAGTAAAGCCAGAATGTCACACTGAAA